GCTCCCGGGAAGCAGTGTGGGGATAAGGGTCTTTTGCTCAGGGAGCCAGAGTGTCAGTCTGTGGGAGTGGGGCTTTAACTCAGAACCTCTGGATTCCAAGCGTAATGCCCTAACCACTAGGCCAACACTCCCCTCACTGCTCCCCAAGGGGATGGGTTAAATGTAGAGAGCGAATTTTTCCCATTGTGGGACAATAAAGGGATATCAAAATATTTAACTGATGTAGGTCTAGCTTTAATTAAGGCAAACACACTTTTGATTGCATGATTGTGATAAGCTGATGCAGTGCCAGGACGAGTTTCCTGCCTGGAGCTGCACTTGTTTGTTTTTTTGGACACCACAGCCTAGTCTTTTTCCTTTAAAACACCATCCACTCAGTGAAAAACGGCGTTTTCAGCAACATGCTACGAGGAAGCTTCTCTGGACTCAGTTGATGAGCAGATAGGCAGGTTAAATACAGGGTAATCCCGGGAAAATACCTGTTATTATAGGCTGCAGATCACCGAGGTGGAGGCTCACCTTCTAGCAGGATAACAAGCATAAACGTGGAACTGAAGCTGCAAATATGTATTTAGAATAAAGCAGATTTATCTGTCAGACTGGACCAGTCAAAGGAAAGACTTTAATCCAACTAAATAACTGTGGCAAGACTGGATAATTGTTGCTCACGTGTAATATTTATTGAACCTGATGCAGTTTCATCAGGGAGGAGGCTTCTGTTAATGCATTATACTATTTCTAAATCTAAGTTTAGGAGCTTTATTTATTGTTGACAATTATTTATTGTCTGTCTAAAACAGGGTCATATCTTTGCGCTACTAACTGCAGTATGTTTGACTTGGATATCTAAGCCAAAAGTGTCAATAACACATTGCTTCAACATGTTACTGCAATAATCTCACATCGGAAAGATTTTTGCAACCATATAGTTTGTTTTTAATTCAATAGGATTTTATAGATATAATCAGTTTAGGAATCAATATGATAATTAAGTCTTAACACATTGTTATACTTGTCTTATCAACAGCTCTGTCTCTGGAGAGTTCGGCCATCAGCTTTCCAGATCTCCCAAGACTAATTTCATTTTACTGTGTCAGCAGGTAAAGAAAAAAGTCAATATGCTTTTTCCAATATTTCATCATCGATCATGTGGTAAACAGGTGCCACAGCTACTTATGTGATTGCATGTTGTCTGTGTGTCTCAGAGATGTTTTACCTTTTCCTCTGGAGCTTCCTGAAGCCATTGCGAGGGCGGCGTCACACAAAGAGCTGGAGTCCATCTCCCACATGGGAATTGGTGAGGGAGTGACCTGTTTCCTCACGGCGGATTTTGCAACCTAACCTTTGATTTTCTACTGCTTTGAAGAAGGAGTTCATTTACATGACTCACTGACAGACAGTTGATCTGGATAGTGAACACACCCTAGTTAAACTGCAAAAGAAAAACAGCTACATCAATATAAATGTTAAAAACTTAATATAGAAAGAAAATGTCTGGTAAATAACAATAAACCTATATTTTAAAGCTACTTATGTAGCTGTATATAGGTATGGAAGTAAATCCGTGTCGCTGGGATTTGAATTAAAAATGGCACTGAAATTTAAATGTTGTATGTTTGCACTTAACACTGTTTCAATGTTAAAATATATTCAGAACACATTTTTGACCAAAAAAAAAACAAACAAGCTAACGCTAACTCAATGGTGAGTTTAGTATTTTCATTTTTCTGTAGTTGAGTTAGCGTTAGCTTGCATGACCGGCTCCGTCATGCTGGTTTTCCTTCAGTATGAGCGCCGCAAGCGTCACGTCACATGACTAAGAAAACGTAACGGGATTGGCTGGGTGTTGGACACCACAATCCATTGCTAATGTCTGTGACCTGAAGTAACCCTTCCCTTTTTACACTGAATTTAGACGCCGAATTTAAGACAGTGAAATAGAGCCAGTTGAATCTCTGGAGGCTAAAAATATTGAGTTTGAATTTTGAAACGTTGAATTTTTTTATATACTGATTTTTATAACATTGAAAAATTAAACTGAAAAATAAGTATTGAAAATGTAATCACTTTGTAATAGTAATGTGAATTTTTAGCTTGAAGAGAAAATAACAAATTAAATTTAAACTGTGTAGAAATAATGACAATCAATTTTTTGGGGGGCCAAAAATGTGTTCCGAATATATTTTAACACTGAAACAATAAGTACAAACATACAACATTTACATTTCAGTCGCATTTTTAATTCAAATCCTAGCGACACAGATTTACTTCCATATATAGGATGTACACCTAATACTGGTTAAGCTGTCCTATTAATACATGTGTAACAGTGTTTGCTACGCCCTTTAGCCAAAACCACTTAGGCTTACATAGGATAAACAGATTTAGCTTTGAAATAGATACCAAAAAAGATTACAAAATTAAACTTTACAAAAGGAAACCGCTTAGTGATAATAGAAAATATATATATACAGTATATTGGACAGTTATGAGATAATGTAACATTAACATTGAAGGAGGTGCAGGAATTTCCGCCTTTGTTTTATAGGTAAGAAAAAATATTCATACACCTAACAAATGTATGGCAAAAGGAGAGACTGACTGACAGCCCTAAAATGATTATGCAAGATAGCAGGAATAGAAATGTGTGTAAAAGTATTTGCACCATTCCAATTCATCAATAGAAAATATTTACTAGCCATACAGCAATCAGCTCCTTGCTGCCACTTTTTTTCCATTCTGATGTCTCTTTGCTGATTTGTTTTTGGTGATCAGCTGCAAGTCTGAAGGTTTGAAGACCTGCTTGCCATCACCATCCTTTATAATTCCAGCCTTGTATTCTCTAAGAAATTTAACCTGGACTCACTTGACAGAAGACAATTTTTACTAAAAAGGAAAATATAACTGTAAGTCTAAGTTTTACACTTAACCATATTAAAGATTAAAGGTATAGTGGAGGATGTTTTTTTTTCTGGGTGGATAAAAAATAAGCGGTCCTTTTAATTGTCAATCATTCTGGTGATATGTTTACGTAAGGCCGTCCTACTTCCTTGTCCCTATTTTCACTTACCAGTGGTTAGTCTGACATAGTGGAAAAAATTGCAAATCTTCTTTTGGAAAGTAAGATTGTATGAACCATGCAAACAGCAACTTTTAAACAGAGCGTACACGAGAAGAAATCTTGTGCACGCTCTTGCACGTGTTTAAAAGGTGATCCCTCTTGGGAGCCGGTACAGAGTTGAGCATGTGCATTTTTTTTAAATGGAGAGGGCTTATCTTTAAAAAAAAAAAAAAAAGCGAAAATCCTCAACTATAGTTTTAAAGCTTCCTCTATTTTCTATAAAGAAAGCAGAATCCAAAAACATAATTCTTTTCTCCCATAGAAAACATTAATACCAGGCTGAAATCTTCCAGAACCTAATGGAAGCATGATTAGATCTTAATCCCAAAATGTACATTATTTTAACACTGAGCATGATTAACAGGTATACCTCAAAGACATATTGAAACATGGTAGTTGTAGAATCGTGCAGCTGGAATACTTTTCTTTAGATGGATCTGGGTTTTTGTGGTGCAATAAACAAACCATAATATAAAACAAATAAAACCATTATTAAGCAGTGAAACACGGGTGATTCAGTCGTTTTAATTCAGTGATCTGGAGTTCATATTCGCCATCAATTACTGTCTGACTGAATTCTTTGTCACATTTCTTTCTGACCTTTAGCAAATTCCATACCAGCCATTTTTGGCTTGAATGTTTCTGTTTTAAACCTAAAAACAATATAATAATCTTGGGTCCAAAGACCTTAATCTGAAAGGAAATCGATTAGGCACACATGGAGCGTATACTAACAGACTTTTTTTTACTTTTTAATATTGTTTCCTTCTAACTACGACTTTTCAATTTAAGCATACAGTTTAGATGTTACATTATATGTAGAAAAGGTTTTTCTATCTCATTATTTCTTTAGAAGAGCAAAATATTTGAGAAAAGATGTGAATTTTTGATTGCCATTGCATCCTGAATATAGATATAATCTTTCCTATTTAGAAAAAAATATTAATTTTAACCCTATAATGCCAAATGTATCATATTTGATACATACAGTTTCTGAAATGTTTTGCGTCTGACACCTTTTGCATAATTTAATATTAAAAACTTTGCTCAAAATCCTGTTGTACACAATCAGATATACCTGATAACAGCCAGTAGAAGACTACACAAAAAATAATCTTGACTTATCGCATAGTAATAAATTATTAATATCAAAAATTTATTTCTGTTTTTTCTTTTTACATATTTTGTTAAAAGGGCAAATAAGGACTTCAAACCAAAAAAAAGTAATTTTCTGTTTTGTTTTATTCTTGGATCGGGCTTTAAAGGGTTAACAACAAAATAATAGAATTATTTTTAATAATAAAATTTTTATTTTATTCACCAATGAGACTATTTTAACTGGAACATCCATCCATCCATTTTCTGTCATGCTTATCCCAGGCAGGGTCACAAGGGGTGTTGGTGCCTATCTCTAGAGGCGGAGTCCACCCTGGACAGGTCGCTAGTCCATCGGGCAACACAGAAACAAACAACCATTCATGCACACACTCACACGTAAGGAGATTTTAGTGAAACCAATTAACCTAACAGTCATCTTTTTGGACTGTGAGAGGAAGCCGGAGTACCCAGAGAGAACCCACGCCTGCACATGGAGAATATACAAACTCCATGCAGAAAGACCTCCGGGCTGGGAATCAAACCCGGAACATTCTTGCTGCAAGGCAGCAGTACTACCCACTGCACAACTGAGCAGCCCTTAACTGGAACATTTACTTTAATAACATCCATTTTCTTTTCTAGAATTCTGGCGTTCCCATCTAAATGTACGTGGACCACGGGAGGCTCCTAAAGCCAGAAAAGAGGAGAAGCAGCCAGATGCTGCATCATCTGCTATACCTGCTATCCTACAGACCGACTCTACAGCTCAGCCAGAGTCTGGTCTCCAACCGGATTCAGAGAACCAACCCAGTGCAGCTGAACCCCACTCAAACGGCACCAAATCGTATTCAAATCCAACCCTCTTCCAGGAGTTTTGTCCAATCACAACGCGCAGCCCCAGAGAGCTGGACTGCGGCTCAGGCCAGGGCGCCCTCTGCTTCATTAACCCTCTCTTCCTACAGTCGCAGAGTGCTTTCTCCAGAAGGCGAATGTTCAAACGCAGCCTAAAGGTTCGAGTTTCCACAGAGACGTCCAGCTTGCTCTCGCCTCCGCTCGCTCCCCCGCCTCCTCCACCCCTCATGCCTAAAACCAAAGGGAGACGTAAAGGTCTAAAAGCAGGAGGCTTTGTTAAACCCAACGGGGATACGTTTCATGTTGCTCAGGTTGAGCCACCTCTCATTGAGCTGGAGGAGGAGCCTCCATCAGGAGATCTTTCCTTAATGTCAGACATAAAGGAGGAGGGCCAACCGGAGTGTGGAAGCAGCACCACTGAAGATGACAAACAGGAAGTACCTGCAGCTCTTTTAGATGACTACTTGCACCCTAATCCTGTGATCAGTGCTCCCTCGCTCTCCCCTTACCAATCACCCTCCATTTCTCCAAGAGCACCTCCTCTTTTCCCTAAAACCAGCTATTCCCTGTCTCCCCGCAACTCTCCCAGTGCTTCCCCATCCATTTCACCTTATCAGTCGCCATCTTTATCCCCTAAAGTACCTCTGTCTCTCTCTCCATACGACTCACCAAACCTTTCTCCCTCTCCCTCCCCTGTAACCGTGCTGAACACCTCTGCACTGGCAGAACAAGACTGCTGTGCAGATGCTGCTCCTTCAGGGTCAGGGCAGGAGGCTGTGAAGGAAGTGACGCACACAGACAAGAATACAGAGGATGATGGAGAGACAAAGCATTTGAATGAAGAGAGAGAAAAAGAGGGGATGGGTGTGGATTTAGAGAGAAGTGCTGAAGATGATGGCTTCAGTTCCGTCAGTGATCTCAAAGAATCACTAGAGACTCCTTCTCAGTCACCCCATAAACCGGACATGGTAAAAGAATGCAAAGAGACTTAGGCTGTTTAGGAATTTTAAAGTTATAGCATTTTTTTTTTGAAAGAACAGAGATTGCTTATATAAATAATTATTTAATTGACATGATTCCTTTTCCTGAGCTCACGACTGTTAAGCATTTGTTTGCTCTTGGTTTTTAATGAGGGTGCGTGTCTCTTCCAATTCAACAAAGCTAACAATTGTTTAAATGTTTACTAAAATACACAGTTTTTTTTAAAAATAAAAATCCTCTTTAATCTATGAAGAGATTCTTGTTCTTTCCAACTGTAAATAAATGAAATCCTTAATGAATTGTATTATTTTTATTTGATATTACAATATTTATTCAGAACATTTTGATCTAAGCCAATAAAAGTGAATACATTTAATTATGATATTCCAAGCACCTAAGTTAAATTTCCAATAAAGGAATATAGCTTTTAAAATAGTTACTTTATAGACATAACGCTTTTCATCTATGCATTACGTGAACATGATGACCTTTACGTAGACTATTCCTCTCTTGCAGATAAAAACTAAGCACTTAAAGTTCTTTAATGAGAGTAAAAGATAAAATGTGAATTTAAAGAGGATGTTTAACTGGCTATTATTCATCATAGAGTTCTACCAGTACTTTCATCTACATTGTTCTTCAAAATACTTCAACAGTAGTAATCAGAGATGGGAAGTAACGAAGTACAAATACTTCGTTACTGTACTCAAGTAGATTTTTCTGATATTTTTACTTTACTACTTATTTTTATGGCGACTTTTTACTTCTACTCCTTACATTTTTACACAAATATCTGTACTTTCTACTCCTTACATTTTAAAAAATTGTCTCGTTACTTTAGTTTTGAATCATTTCAATGGAGTTACCGTTATTATTTTTCACGTCATCAATACCAAATTCAATGTAATTGGATGGGAATCTACGTTGCATTTGACGCACCACTACAAGATGAATCGACAGATTCGGCGGTATTCATTCGCGGGAAATCATTGCAGCTTGTTGGCGGTGGCGTTAGCATAGCAGTATGGACGACAAGATGATTGAAAATGAACACAACGGAGATCTAGTCCTATTGGCAGACATCCATTTAAAATGTAGGCAACGGCATGAAAAAAGTGGTTTCTACTTTTACTTTTACACTTTAAGTAAATTTACAAGCCTGTACTTTGTTACTTTTACTTGAGTAAAGAAGTTTAATCAGTACTTCCACTTTTACCAGAGTATTTTTTAACACAAGTATCTGTACTTGTACTCAAGTACGGAAAGTGAGTACTTTTGCCATCTCTGGTAGTAATTGATACATACCTTATTCCATAGAATCATTTTTTCACAATTAGACTAAACTTTATAACTTGGGATAACTCCGTCAAAGAAATTCTGGTTCCAGTAGCTTATTAAGAGTACAAAGAGTTAATGGCAATATGCCATTAAAGTTAAAAATACGACTGACAATATAGAGTAAACATAGTACCAAAAAAGCATCAAAAAAAAAAAAGAAGTTGTAATGTCCTGCACTATGTTTCCGTTAGATATAAAAATATCATCACAGTAGAGCGCTAAAGGAAGACTACACAGTATTTGACTAGGATTATTGCATAATAAAAGCACTATTTTGTTTTTATACATTTTGTTGTTATGTGTACTAGTTAAGGCTGAAGTCTAGAGCAATAGAGGAACAAGTCAGGAAAAAAGTACTTTAACTTATTACAATAAACCAGAAGACTAGGGCCAAAAGGAGAAAAATAGGTAATTTTCTAAATTCTGATTGTTTTCTTATCTTTCCGATGTTAAAAGTATGAATTGAGATTAAATGAGTTCATTATTTATATATGAATGAAACAATCCCAACAATTCTTTATGTGAAAGTTTGACAAAAAAATATTTAAGGTTAAGTCAACTTCAAAGAAGAAAGTATAAAAAACCTTAAGAAAAAAAGAGACATTTTCTTTATTGTTTTTAGCCACCAATCAGCATAGGTACACAAAGTCAAATATCATGACAGAGGAAATTATTTAACTAAAGAAACCATTGATTTTTCCAGGTAATGCAGTTTTTATTCTCATTAGAAAACATGTCAAGTGCCTCTACCAAAGAGATCCATTTCATTACATATTAGCTCAAAATGATTAGATACACATCGTATGGCTTATTCATTTTAAGAGTTGAATTTTTCACACTTTAAACCTTTCGTAAATCTTCAGCATGGGAAACTTGACTTCGGAGGCCATTTTTTAAACAAGAGGATCAATCCTCCATCAACACCAGCAGGAGGCGTCTGCTTTGTTCAGATCCAAAAGGGTGTTTTCCAGCTGCTCTGCGTCATCTTGGAAGCGTTCGATGAAGGAGCGAATCAAACCTGCTGCGCTGCCTTCATATTCCACCAGCTCCACATTCTCCCCTGGAAACCACAGAGGAACGTTAGCTAAATATGGAAACTAATAACCAAGTATTACAGGCAAGATCTGACTCCTGTTTGTGTCGCTGATATATATATACTTACCGATGATTCTGGTGTTGGCCTGGACAAACATTTTGCGCGCCTCTTTCCTCAGCAGCACGATCTCCCGCAGACGCAGGAAGTTGTGAGCTCTGGTGTCGCTGACAGTGGAGTAAGCGTCATAGAGAGCTCTGCCTCCTTCTACATCTGCTGTAGACTTTAAGATCTGTAAATGGGTTGGATTGGATCAGATCAGGCCTTTTGAAGGATTTAAGATCTCAACAGGGTGGAGCTGTGGGGATACTTTGATTTCCAGTAGTGGCCGATAACTGGGCACACGGACATTCTGGTAGACCAATTTAAAGCAGGAGTTTAAGGTTCCAGCAGGTGAAGGACCCCAAAGACAACCAGAATCTCAAGGTTTAGGATGTCAAACCCTCATTTTTTTATTATAAAAATCTGTTAAAATCTATTTTTTTTCTCCACTTAAAATTGAACTATTTTAATTGCTATCCTGTATAATCCAAATAAAATGTATGACTTTGTTTTCTACAAGATGCATTTCAAAAGGTTTGGGCAGAATAAATACTTAATTCATGAATCTTCAATTGTTGATTCAAATTTATGTTTTTAATAATTTACTAGAGTTGGAAAAAAAAGAAAAAAAAAAGGATGGCAAATGACAAATTAGGCCCAGGCAAAAAAATGTATTCAATGAATTAATTAACTTTTTTTTTAAACGGGCGTTTATATAAAAAAAAAAAGAAAAAAAAAAGGAAATAGATTTTTTTGTATAACGCCGCAATTTTGGCTCTCCGGAGCTTCCATAGGTGGAGTATTACTCCCACGTTGTAGTTCAGCAAGCGAAATCATAGCTACCGAGGAGAGTGGGGGATTATTCTTGAAAAAGGAATAAAATCATCCGTTGTTTGGAACTGGTCTGAGTTTGCTGGTAGAGTTTGCTGGTGGTATTTCTAAGGATGCATAACATGTCTATTGTGGAAAAAATTATTTTCATTTGTACTGCTGTTTGTTTGTCTTAATGTGCACAATAATAAGTAGAGGAAAGAAAAAAAAAAGGCGTATAATCAAGCTGGTGAGCATCTCGGGTGAAGTGGATGTACCTGCAGTTTACAGAGGAACCTGTGGATGGCGTCCTTGCCCACAGTGCTGATCTTGCTCCGGTCTAGTGTGATCCGTGCGTCGG